CCTTAAAATCCCTCAAATTGTTTCAAAATCTTTACAAAACCTTACACAATTTGTTCAGTTATGCTCTTTTTTTACTCTCTTGAGCAAATTTTAGCAATTTTTTCCCTAATTTTAGCCTTTTCTACTATTTCAGCTAAAATTCTGCTTCTTTCTGCTGTTCTTTATTTTTTTTTCTATTTTTGTGCTTTTTTCTGCTACTTTGTGCTATTTGAGCTTCTTACAGATGGTTTCTGCTATATTCAGCTAATTGCTGCACTTTTAGCTAATGTTTAGCTGGTGTTAGCTAAAGTTAGCCTTTTTTAAGCTAAATACACATTTTTTGTAGCTATTGCAACTTATTTCTGCTAAATTCAGCAAACTTGTGCTCCTTATGCATCCTTATGCAAAATGTTTCCAGCTACTTTTTAGCTGTTTTACTAAAAACTTTGGCTGTTTTAGATATTTTACCACAAATGATCACTTTTTAGTAGTTTTATGTTTTTTTTTTTCCTGCTAAAATATTATTTTCACAACCATTTCACCATCTGGGTGCCACTTTCAACTTGAGTCTGCTACCTTTAGCTTATTTCTATCCTAATTTTAGCTGTTTTGCTGCTATATTAGCTAAATTCTGCTCCTTTCTGCTTTATCTCTGTTAATTACATTTTTTTGGTAATTCTTTTACTTTGTGATATTTATGCTTCATACAGATGCTTTCTGCTATATTTAGCTATTTGCTGCACTTTTAGCTAATGTTAAGTTGGTATTGATTTTTTTGTACTTCTTTCTGCTATTTTGAGTTATTTATGCTTCTTACATTTGCTTTCTGCTATGTTCAGCTAATTTAGCTTTTTTATGCTAATTCAGCTATATTTTTCCTCCTTTTGACTGATTTTCTGCTCTTTTTTTGCTTCCAGCTTTTCAAGTTTAGCTTACAAAAATATTTTTGCTATTAAACATGTTCAGCTCAATTTCAGCTTCTTTCAGCAGCTTTGAGCTAAAGTTTTCAGCAACAGGCATTCACACTAGCATTTTCGCAGGAAATGCAACTTCTCTAGTTTTTAATAAAATAATTACTGTAAGCAGAGGAACTTGGTGGCTTGATAAAACTTAGATCTTTAAATATTAAATAAACAAGTGGAAACGCCTCACTTGATTGTTTTCAGGGACTCTCTTATATTTCTGAATCATGAAGCCATCCTGTTCAGGGACGACAGTGAAATATTTGACCGGCTTGATCCTCAGAAGCACACTCCCTCCTAATCAATGTGCATTGCCAATGCAATGCACACTATTGTGATTCGTTTCCCATCCAAGTCATCTCAACTTTGCCATGCTTCTCCTCCCGCATACTTTGTCCTAGAGCTGCCATTGTAATTTATATCTGTAAAGCTCCTGTGCCAAATGATGGCTATGCCTTTTGGTGCCTGTAAAACTTATGGTTTTGAAATATTAATGTTTAATAAATGATAATGGCAGTCAATGGAGCCTTGTATTGGTCCAATACTGCCCCCTGCTGCCTCTACACAATATGGTACTGCACCATAGTTTTATAATATTTAAACTCAGTAGTTCAGTGATTACAATATTAATATGATTGTATTTTGATGTTTTACTGTAATACTGTCTTTATGTTGTCCTATTGCTGTAATTTATTGCACTTAAGTGTCAATAATTGCATTGGCAAGGTAAACTTTTTCTGTATGCATACAATCCAGTCCCTGGGTTGTCCTCTGCCACATCTCCTGTAGTCTCATGATGAGCACTGTGGGCTTTCATGYGGGAGATCAGGGTTCAAATCCAGCTACTGCTACTTTAACAAAAATCACTTCAAACTTCATATTGTCACACAATTACCTTAATTACAAACACCTGCTGACGTGACAGGCACAAGCTGGTTTAGAAAACATATTTGAACTTGGTCAAAGTTCATTCTGAAAGTCTAATGCTCCTGCATACATTGTCCTACAGCTGCCATTGTAATTTATATCTGTAAAGGTCCTGTGCCAAATGATTGCTATGCCTTTTGGTACCTGGACAACATGTAGTTTTTGAAATATTAATGTTTCAACTTTATTCCAAATTCATATGAGAGTCAATGGGGCCTTGTAATGGTCCAATACTGCCCCCAGCTGTACACAACTTGGTACTGCACCATATTTTTTTATATTTAATCTCAATAGTTCGGTGTTTACAGTACTTATGATTGTATTTTGATGTTTTACTATAACATTGTCTTAATACTGCTCTATTGTTGTAATATTATGCATTTTTGTGTCTAATTGTATTGGCAATGTGGCCTCTTTCTGCACACATACAAACTAACCCCTGCCACCACCTTCTGCCACAGCTCCATTGGTCTAATGGTCTATGTCATGGACTTTCATGTGGGAGATCAGGATTCAAAACCCAGCTAACGCAACTTAAAAAAATCTATCACTTCAAACTTCATATTGTCACACAATTACCTTAATTACAAACACCTGCTGATGTGACAGGCACAAGCTGGTATAGCAAACACCTTTGAACTTGGTCAAAGTTCATTCTGCAAGTCCAATGCTGCAGGCAAAGCCATGCTGCAATGACATGCTACGTGGCAATGCACAGTTGTTTKTACATCGTAAAAACCCATGTTTAGTTCTTCTTGTGATGTTCTCAATCAATGCAACATAAAAACAGTTTGTTTCTTTATCCCTTTAATTTTTTTTCTCTTCCCAGGCTGGTTATGGTCATGGCCTGCCCATCTCCCGACTGTACGCTCGGTATTTTCAGGGCGACCTGAAGCTGTACTCTCTGGAGGGATATGGGACCGATGCTGTGATCTACATTCGGGTAACCAGAGTTTCACCGCAGCAGAGTTTAACGTTCCTCAGTGAAAAATCTGGGAGCGTATTAACTTTGATCAAATTCTCATCTCAGGCGCTGTCCACCGAGTCCATCGAGAGGCTCCCTGTGTATAACAAGTCGGCCTGGAAGCACTACAAGACCATCCACGAGGCCGACGACTGGTGCGTCCCGAGCAAAGAGCCAAAGGATATGACCACGTTTCGAAGTGTCTAAAACAAAAAACAAAAATCTTGTTGCACAGTGCAAAAGAGATTACTGTTAGTGAGTTTTAGTGTGTAAGCTGATCCGTTTTTACAGTGAGTTTAAAAGAAGAGGGGAACAAAGGATGTCTGGATGTTTAGTGCCACACATTTTAAGTTTCATAAGGAACACCCTGTTTGGAAATAACTATTTAAACATAAAAACTCCTCGTTAATAAATGAGCTTCCAGTGTCTCCTACTGAACAAGAATAAAGTATTGTTGCTGTATTTTAACGAGGTTGAAATAATGTGCTGCACAGATTAGATTTGATCTGATTTGTTTCTTCTAGGAATATTTATTTTCCTTTTTTCTCTGTTCAGTAGTGTTTGCACTGAAGATTAAAATGTTACATTTGGATATCAGAACTCATCTTATATGCCCCTTTTCCACTAGTGCCACTTAGTGTAGTGTCGGAACGGTCGGTGTAGGTACGGGTCGGACCGGTTGGTTTTCCACTGATGTTCCAGTCCGGTTCCAATGGGTGTGTTTTGAGTGGTTGGTGGAGGTGGTTTTTAGGTATTTTGAAAAAAAATTAATGGGCAAAATGAGAGATGGAAACACATTTGATGACTAACTTTTGAAATTTTAAACATTTGCAAAAAATTTAGCCAATCAGTGACGAACAGTGTTCTGACGTCGCATTTTGGTGTCAGCTGGGGCCGGTTGGATCCACAATGAAGTAGGTACTAAAAAAGTGCTGGTTCCATGGATCTGGCCTAATGGAAATGGCTTGGAACCGTAAGGACACTAGACTAAGTGGCAGTAGTGGAAAAGGGGCAGTAGTTTGCTGCTTTTATTCGGCTTAACTGATTTTTGCAGGGTTTCTCATCTGTTTTATGTTAACTTTGAATTTTGTTTTGTGGTGGAAAAAAACCTGAAGTTTATAGCTTTTCATTTAAAACTAAATATTTCTGCCATCTGGTTAGGATGTTTGATTTTAGGTCAAATCTCAGATAACTGTTACAAACTGGATTGCTGACAGATATATGCTGAGCAAGATTTTATTGTTGCATTGTTTTATTTACTAACATGATTGTTTTCAGCATCCTGTCACCTGTAACCTATAATACCTGCAAAGTATTGGTGTCTGATATGCAGTATTAGGAATCTGTTAAATAAGCTTTAGTTCATTGTTAATATGTTGCACTGTGAGAGCATCTATTTGAGTGGATGATGTTCAGCAAATAAGAATTTTCAGATTATTCAGTCTGTTTCTATGCAAGTGGAGGAAAGTGCTGAAGATGGGATGTTTGTTGAGCGGACAGCTGGGGGCAGGATGTCTTCACGCATGATGCTCTTTTGGAGGAAAATCTTGAATAAATTATGTGAAACAATTGTGGTTGTTTGGAAAAAGTGCTGCTGAAAAACAATTTGAAATATTTAGATTATTATGAGTTATTTGCTGTAGAAGAATAAAGTGAAATAAACATAAGCCACGATGAGTGAAAATTAGTTTATTGATGCTGTGTGTACCAAGAATCGCTTCTCGACGTAGAAAATGTTCTTGCAGTCATACATTTTATATTCTGTACAGAACCTGTTCATTGTTCAGCCTCACATTAACGCACCGGTTTCTGTCTTTTGGTCCTGTGAGGTCCTCTTAGTGTCTTTATTCACATGCAGCGTTGCGGTACCATCTGAGCGATACCGAGTCTGGGTCGAGCACAGAGCAGCAGCGTTCACCTGGTCCCCAAATCATTTTGTTGCTTTTCTTCCAGCAGAAAATAAATGGTTTAGCTATTCTACTTAGTAGAAAACTTAGAGTATAAAACGTACGATGAAATTAAAGTAAAAAATATGCAGTTAGCAGACATAAGTATAAAACTTATTTATACATTAAAAAAACCTTTAAACCCACACAAGCTTAAAAGACAAATATAGTGCTTTTATCAGAACTGTACAAAAACTGTTCCCACCAAAAACTCAACACTGAGTCAGACATTTTCAGAAAACATACAAAGCATATTTGGGGGAAAAAAACAAAAGCTGATTACATATTAATTTCATAAGCGTGCGCTCGATCTGTAAGAACTAAAATCGTTTTTCAGTACAGACGTTTACAATTAGCTTGTAGGTTTTAGTGGTGAAAATGTCAATTTTCATTTTGGTCACAAGCCAAATATAACATTCCTCGTTCAAATAAAATGTTTGAAGCTGAAGTTAATTCATCTGAGAGAAAACATTGATAAAATGAAGATAAATCACAACAGAATGAGCAGACTCCAGCAGTCACAGATATGATACATGTTGAATTAACGGTCACTTTATCAGCTGGTCCCAGTCCAACACAAACACATCATACTCCAAGTTACCATCATCCAACGTCTCCTGTCTCAGGACTGAGTAGATGCACCTGAAGAAAAGCTGCACAGGGAAAACAGAGAAATGTCACTCGGGAAGTTCCCAGCTGGCCAACAGGGCAGAGATGGTGCCAACCACCACAGAACCCAGGCTGCAGAGGAAAAAAGGTTTTGAGTTCTGCACGGAGATGAGCTTCATGGGAAGACTTGACTCTGAGAACAGAGCTGATTCCTCAGCAGACAGAGTCATTAGAAACTGGCAGTTTAGCACTGCGTCGGACTTCTTTTTCCATTTTCTCTCGCTGTTTCTCCAGCTTCTCCTGGGCTTTTTTCATGTCTTTAAGCTTTTTCTTGATGGTTGAACGATCGCTTTGACTCGAAACACCAAGTGCCTGAAAGAAGGAAGTGTGACTTTGAAAAAAAAAAAAAAAAACTACACGAATCAAACAACTGCAACTACTAGTAACCGTTCAAATACACAAAAACCACTYTTGCCACCAAGGGGCAGTAGCTGCCTGATCAAAACCAACCAACCAATAATCAGAACCACATTTGTTTATTTCCTAACTCCACCTACATCACTGTACTCTGGTTCAAAGATGCAGAACATGTTTTACCTTCAGCTTCTCACTGTCCAAGTTCAGGAGCTGCTGGCCGTCGACACCTTTAGCTGTGAACTCAGGTGTGTACTGGTCCATATTCATGCCCATCAACCAGTGACAGACCTGCTGATTGGTCCACTCAGGAACTGGTCGGTTCTGCCACTGATACTCCTTTCCTACAGCTACTGGTTCATCATCCAAAGTCTGCACAGAAACACATCACAGATGGAGGTTAAATTAATTATACTGTTATTTTGGTTGCAGTATTTCTACTTTAAACTTATTACACAAGTGAAAAAGAATATACATGAACTTAATGAAAAATTATTAATAAAAATAATGTATATACTTGCACACACCTCTTATTAAGCCACATGATATGTATGATTTGTAACCTTTTTTAAAAGGGCCAAATAGGCAATAAGTCACCTGAACATACACACACAATAAAACCAACTACAGCATATGAAGAAAAAGTTTCCCAAGCTGGCACACAGAAAACAAGCGTGCAATGTCAGAAAACTACCAGTAAAACTGTGATCCACATCAATCTCTTCACACTGAAATGTGAAAATTGACTATCCCAGCAAAATGCACACATCACTGAGCAGACAACAAAGAAAACTATAAAAAGAAACATCATACAGAAGCAAACGTACGCACCATTCCAATCACAGCCGACTTAGGAGAAGCTAAGCCATAACACAAAACAAAACGGCTTTAACAGACAGACATGCAGAGCTCATATTCTCTGTCCATTCATGGTTTAATCTGAGCTATGAAAGGGGAGAGCGGGCTCAAAGAGCATGCTTGAGAATGTCCCCTTTCAGCTGCATCAAGGCATCCTGCGCAGCTTTTGTGACGGTGCAACAAGGAGAGCACTCACCTCGCTGGAAGAGAAGATTAAAGTATGTGAGCGCCCAGACAGAATGGGCTCAGCGACTAACCCAGTGAGGTCTGAACTGGGACTGGCAGGGTTAGAATCATCTATGAGCGAAAAACTCTGGAACAAGTGGAAAGAAGGAACGCGTTTACAAAAGTAACACATCACCAAGCAACAGTTTTCTTTCTTTTAACGTCACTATGAGAGGCAAACATTAAAACAAAAAGGGGTTAAGAGTGGTCTATATGCTCACAAATGATCAAAACTATTACAGTAGCAGCTGTTAAAGTTATTGATTACACAGAAAAGACTAACTGTGACCTTCAACAAGTGAAGGAAAAAAGATGATCAGAATCTACCGTGCAACACACTTTTCAAACTAAATAACATCAAACAATCCACCACCAGAACTACAGCAACTAACAGTGCTAATAAAAGATCACTAAAACACAGAAATGTCAGGTATGAGGTAACGTTTTCACTTAAGGGGACAACATTTGGTTAGTTAAGGGTTTAAGACATATGTTTGTTAAGAATAAATTTTGATTAGGTGAAAAAGTCCAAAACCACAAGTTGTTGCATCAGCTAAGTGCTGACAAAGCTTCTGCACAGAGAAAGGCTTTAAGTATCACAAATAATAAAATTGCACATCATGTTGGCTTAAACTGAATATCTAGATCTTCTTTTCCAGTTAGGCAGCTCAACATGTCCTCAAAATTTCTTGTGGCTTCATTTATTTCTTCTAACACCTGAATGGTTTCTTAACATTAATTTAAAAAAAAGTGTACAATTTGCTGCTAGAAACTTTACCACATACCCACTACAAAAGTAACAACAAAACGTTAGAAGGGTGTGTTGAAAGTGAGGAGTTAAAAATCGGGGTTAGTTAGTGATCCACTACTGTGCTTTGAAGGTGGAACAAAAATGGGTATACTGTACCAAATCTAATGAGCGACTGAATAAAGAGGACCAGGAGAGATTTGTCTGTTTGAAGGAAACACGGCCAACAGGGATAAATCAGACAGCGAATCACAGACAGATTAAATGAAAAATACCATAAATCACACAGGAACAGAACCAAAGTGTCTCTGTAATCTGCTGCTGCAGTTTCAGCTCGTGTCTTGAACTCATTAAACTGTATTTTGGGAACAGCAGCCCACCAAAGCCTAAACGACTGCCAGGCTTCCCACCGGGTACATTTGCTGTATCACTTGCAAATTTAGGTCACGATATTCCCACACAGACAACAACAACACACTTATTTTTGGTGGAAATTTGTTCTTTGTTTAATCTGAGCACTCTCCCTCTAAAACTCAGTGGACATTTAATTTCTCTATTCTGAAGATAAAACACACTGATTTGTGAATAAAATAAAAGTTTAGCAGCTCTTCCTGAGACTAATATGCAACACAATCCAACCGTGCTTGACAACAACTCAAAACTTTCAGTGCTCTTGGGAGTAAAAGTGGTATAATTTGCTGTTTGTTGGGGCTACAGATCACTTAAAAGAAAACCAGTGGATGAGAAGGAGAAACTTTAAACCAAAGAAATGATGTGAGAGGTGCTGTTTTTACACACATTACGCTGTCGTTTCTGATTGTTCTGCTACTTTTCACTCACAAACAAAACTGCGTCTAAAACAGTTTGAGTCACATCTGTGTATGGACTGAATTGTTTCCAAGACAAATAAAGACAGAAGCATATTTTTTACTTGTGTTTGTATTTATTGATCTGCATTTTATCTTATGTTGAGTAAAGTTCAGCTCTGACACTCAACATTATGAAAGTCCACAAAAGATTACCAATATACTGCACTAAAACTTTGTTGTAAACACATTTAAAAAGTTGTAACTCTTCAACACTAAGTCCCTTTGGGGACAAAGTGTTAGCTCAATTAATAGCATGTCTCTGCTTCCTCTGACGGATCCAAATTTTTGAGCTATTTTAGCTTACTTTATAAATAAACCAGAAAACAGAAACTTAAACGAATATTCTGTAACCCGTACGTTGCCCTCATAAGAAATTCACAGGAAGATTTGTACCTTATTTTTGCGATCCTGGCTTTGCTCACTGCTGGTCTCATTCATAGTGTAGGGCAGACTGCTGCTGGACGAGGAGGGCTCTCTGTCTCTGTCCCTCTCTTTGTCTCCAAACCAGGAGAAGGGCATACAGGTGGGGATGGAGGTCATCGACTCTGCAGGAGACAGGTTCCCACCAGATTCCTCGAGCAGGTCTGAAGACCCTCTGGACCCCCTACAGACACATTTGTAGTTACATCGAGTTACTTTGTAATTTTATCATGAGTACACAGGAATTTGTATATTTGTAACAAGTAAAAAGCACAAGTGTTAAGTCCTGAATCATTCTTATTAATAAAAACTGTATTTATTCTAAAATACCTGCTGTCCAAAGATGCTCTCATCGCCTCTTTGTCCTGTTTTTTCCCTTTACCACCTGACTTTCGAAGGCCCCTGTTTCAATCATATGTAACATTTATTTAGTTTGAATGGGTTGTGAACGTGGTTGCAGCCGATTAGTGAATAACTTGAATACTTGCCCAAAGTCTGGAAATCGTCTTTTAGGTTTTGCTGCAGAGGAAGCCTCACTTAGCTCCTCTGTAAAGAACAAAAGAAATAACAGTCTCAGTAAAAAGAAAATGCTTTGCTATTCCAGACATCACATTTGTATTTTTGCATACCTTTGAGCTCTTTCCCCTTGGTTTTAGAATCCTTCTTCTTAACGTTATGCATGAAACCAGAGGGAGATTGAGGTGAGGAACTGTGCTTTGGAGGTGACAAAGGAGGACTTCCACAGCTGTCAATGCTGTCTCCTTGTGACGGTGACAAAGACGGGCTGCTGGAAAGCTCTGCTTTACTCTGGGAAGCGTCTCTAGACTCGCCTGGATCATCTTTCTGTCCGTTTGTGGGATAACAGACAGGGATGGGGAGAGTCAGGCTCTCCTGGATGGACCTCCGCCTCCTGATGGATCCCTGCTCCTCCTGTTCTCCGTTGTCTTCTTCAGCTTCCTGGAGAGATCAAACCAATTATTTATACAAACAATTCCAGGAAAGGGGATACAAGCTATTTATGGAACAAAACCTTTCATTGTTATGACCATGATGCCCTATTGCATTCAGGAGAAAATAAACAACATTTTCTATTATATTTTGGAACTGTCTGGTAAATTTACTCTTTTACAAGAAAAAAAGTACTCTCAAAAGCAGTGGCCAGAGAACAAAATCGCCATCTAGGTGCCAGCTAGTATTACAACAAAACAAAAAGCTACTTTCACTGTGGCTGATCTGCTCATGAGCTTTCGTGAGTCCTCTTAACTTGAAGCATAAATACAGGGAAAATAATATGTTTCTGGAATAGCTGTCAAATCACAAAGTATCAACTACTCTGCACAGACCTGAGGATGAGGAGAATCGAGGCTCTCCTTCAGTTTGCTCCGAGATGGAGCCTGGCGTTTGGACTTCTGAGCCAACCGGCATTTTGCTTTCTGAGCACTTGTGTCCAAGCGCTGAGTTTCAGGGATTAACTCACTCCAATCTTGATCTACAGGAGAAGAAAAATAAAAGTGAATGTGGATTAAATTAGTCACTAATCACTGAATGTACAAAGACTCTCCTGAGTCTATCACACTTCTAACTAAACATTTTAATAGATTCCACAATGAAAATGAAGATTGTGTCTGTTTTTAATGTATTTCAAATGTAAAGATTTCCCATGTGCAATGAAATGAGACATATAAATAAATAAAAGATGCAACAATACATTGCATAATCTTTTATGAATCAACTTGAACCATGTCTGAGTTCCCTCCTTGTGTCACTTCACTTTGCACAGACAAATATTAAAGTAATGAGAAGAAACCTTGGTAAAATTTACTCTCATARCTTAGTTATGAGAAGATGCAGGGTAGTTATTTGCATAAATAACACCCCCTACATAATGGTGGTCCCAGTACGAGTCCCATTCATTAATGGTGGTCCCAGTACGAGTCCCATTCATGAATGGTGAACTTTTAAAATATTTTTCTCATGAAAATATATTTCTGTGCATCGAGGAGTAAATAAAGGATATTACTTACTCATGTTTGGCAAAAAGAATGTTGGTATAAGACCATTTTCATGACTGAGGTGTTCAGAATATAGCAAAAGCTGCAGATTTTGTTGTTATTCTTGTCATTTTAAGTCGTAAAACAAAGGTTTAACATTTAAACTGTCAAAATCAAGCATTTCACGGTTCTTAAAGGTAATGACGTCACTTCCTGAAAAGGAAATATAAATTTCGCTCTTATAAATAGCAAAACGCTATTTTATCGATAAGATCTAAATCTGCGAACGCAGTTTCATCTTATTTTCGTATTTTCGCTAACATTTAAGAGTTTAAGAACTCATAAATTAATGAACGAAATACGGGGGCCAGTTTGAAGGTGACACACGCTAACACGTTAGCTACAACCACTTCCGGGACGGAAAAAACCGAACGGTTCGTCTCGAAATACGGCGAAAAAAGCTRATTCGGCGCCTTGATCTGTCGTTTGAACCGCTCAGAGAACTTTGGGCGTGCTTAAACGCATTTTTCTGGCAATTTTAAACTCCGACTCCCCGTACGGGCCACCATTATGTAGGGGGTGTTATTTATGCAAATAACTACCCTGCATCTTCTCATAACTAAGCTATGAGAGTAAATTTTACCAAGGTTTCTTCTCAT